TGGATTAAATATAATAAATTTTATTAATTATTAATTAAAAATTTAAAATATATTATATGATATATAATTATTAAACAACATTTACTACTTAATAATTTAGGCTTTTTAGATTTCTTATAATTAGTATTTTTTTGGGTTTTGCCAAAGAGCTACTTGTAAAGAGGGAATGAATTTAATTTTTTATGAAATTTTCAAATAAATAAGAGGTTAGGTTTAAATAGAATAATATAAATTGTAATTGAATTAAATGAGATTAGATTTTAATGGGTAAATTTGTAATCATATTAAATATTAGATGTTGTTTGTGAAAGCACAATTAAAAAGTTTTAAAATGAGATTTCTAACTTTATATATAAAATTGCTATGAATTTGTTATAAGTTTTTGTAGTTTTTGAAAAAAGTGTTTTAAAAAAAATTATTAAACACACATATATTTAAAAGTAATGTACGGTTACAAGAAAAAACTCTCATTGCAATCTTGAATGCATCCTAAATCCCAAATAAAAATGTTTAGGGAACCATTTCACATTTTTAGATAAAAAGATAAAATTATCTTCTCATTATATATAATTCTTTTGAAACAGTGTATTAAATAATGACTTTTCAATTTTGTATATATTAAAAAGAGCATAATGTAGGATAGCTCATTCTCTTAAAATTTAATTCTTTTAGAGAACTTGTCTAAAAATCCACCTTTTAATTAATATATTCAAAAATTGACTATTAGATTAAAAATTTTATACATGTAGATCATGGATATCATTTTTCATATTGATCTAGCACTTATAATTTTTTAATCAAAGTAATGTTATTTATTGGTATATATCTAATGGTGTTAAATTTTTTATAGTTAATGAAGTGGTTAGATTTATTAGATCAATGTGAAAATTTACATGTATATTTTATATAAATAGAACTTTCAATTTAATAGTTAATTTTGGAAAATATGAATCAAAAAATGAATTTTTAATTTTTAGACATGTCTTCCAAAAAAATTTAGAGAGAATAACGTGTAAAATACTTTTTTTTATTAATTTAATAGTAGATAAATATAATACTCCTCTTTAATTTGCATTACTTTTATTTTAGTCGTACCTAAACTCTATGGCTTCTAACATGATATCATCCTATTTTTATCCATGACCAAAATCATGAAGTTTAATCAGAAGAAGAATTGTACGTTGTGCAGGTTGCATTTCCGAACCTAGAGGAGTTACAATTGTCTTTGATTAATGTTAACACCATATGGCACGCCTCAATAACATTTTCTCATGTTCCGAAACTGACGAAGTTGATCATTGAGGGCTGTGATAATTTGGAATATCTATTCCCATCTTCTATGACTAGGGATCTGGTAATGCTTGGACACCTTAAAATAAGGGAATGCAAGAAGATGAGAGAGGTTCTTACAGAGAATGTAGAAGAAAATGGAAATTTGATTTTCCCTCAATTGAGGATTCTAGAGATAGAAAGCCTTCCAAAACTTGAAAGATTCTGCCATGGGAATTACATCAAATTCCCCTGCCTTTCGCGACTTTTGATCAAGAGTTGCCCTGGATTAAAGACGTTCATCTCATCAAGCTCTAGTTTTGACACTTGTACACCTCTATTTGACACAAAGGTAATTTCATCTCTGGTTTTTCTTTATTTATAATCCTTTGAAGCAGTGTATTAAATAATGACCGTTCAATTTTGTATGTATTTAAAAAACTAGATAAATATATTACTCTTTAATTTGCATTACTTTTATTTTAGTCGTACCTAAACTCTATGACTTTTAACGTGATAACATCCTTTTTTCTTTTTCTTTTTTTTATCTATAACCAAAATCATGAACTTTAATCGGCAGAGGAATTGTATGTCGTGCAGGTTGCATTACCAAACTTGGGGGAGTTGCAATTATCTTGGATTAATGTTAGCATCATATGGCATGCTTCGATAACATCTTCTTATATTGAGAAACTGACGAAGTTGATCATTGACAACTGTGATAATTTAGAATATCTATTCACATCTTCTATGGCTAGAGATCTGGTAATGCTTGAACACCTTACAATAGGGGGATGCAAGAAGATGGGAAAGGTTCTTTTTACAGAGAATGTAGAAGAAAATGGGAATTTGATTTTCCCTCAATTGAGGATTCTAGAAATACAAGGCCTTCCGAAACTAGAAAGATTCTGCCATGGCAATTACATCCAA